CTTCATGCAAAATTATTAATGCATCTGTTTAAAATCAATTCATACGTATTAAAATGATTAATTACAGAGAAACTATTTTATATTATAATGCTATCATATGGCATTTCTTTCTTTAACACGTCTTCACGAAACAAAACAAAAAGTAAGAAAATAGAACAAAAAATAAAATTTTTCAATTTAAGGTATGAAAAAAAATAAAGTATTGAATGACGTCTTTGTAATGCTTGATGAAAATTTATTCTAAATATAAATATAAACAATTCTCTAACAAGTACTAATTGACGGCTGATCAATATCTCAGAACATGAATGGTAATGAAAAATGTAAGATGCAATTCAGCGATTTGTAAACTTTTTATTGTACATTTGCAATGATAATTTAACCTATTTTGAAAAACAAATGATACATTTATATATCAAACAAAAATGATATTATTTTATATTGAGACCAGAATTTTTAGTATTACTTGCAAATGTATTATTCAACACAATTTCAACTTTAAACCTTCCAAACTGTTAGTCATAATTGTATGTCGATAACTCTTTTCTTGAAATTGAAATGATTTTAAATAGTTCAAATTTCTGTGAAAGAGAAATGTTTGAACGGATCTCTACAACATCTTTTGAATAGTAATGACGTCGATCAGAGGTTAGAATATCTCGAGAATTTATGTAACATGTATTGTTGTAGGACAAATCATTTATAGAAGCTTTTACAAACAAAATTATAGTTCTTTTATATGATATAAGGTTTTAAAATTTGATAATATCATTGGTTTGCCATATAGCACCATTCACTAATTATCTCACTATTAATTAAACGTCGTAAATACTATAATTTTTTTCAATTTTGAAAAAATAATAAGTTGTTGAAAGAAAATCATATTTATAAGAAAAAAATTAGAAATAGATCGATCACAGTTATTATAAAACAAAGGTTCATGGTAAAAATCAGTCTGCGCAATTTCAGTTTTCATTACTCTTAACCATAAAATATGAAATTAAAAGCATCACAGTGTCAAATGTCAAAAATAAATTCTTTCCCTTATATTTCTCATCTTTTTAACAAAAATGATAAGTGACTATTTTATTTAGAAATTATAAATTCGTTCTAAAAAATTAATACCGAATTTGCTGGATTTTGAATTTGTCCAGAACTATTTCAAATTTTTTGCTAAAAAGATTTTTTCTTATTACACGTTACATTGTAGGCGTATGTTTCCAACGTTGCAAGTAACAGTATCTGGCCTGGAACCATCTGTGCGTTACTCATTAATGGTCGATTTGACGTGTATTGATAACAAAAGGTACCGTTACGCTTTCCATCAATCAAAATGGATCGTCGCTGGACCAGGTAACTGATTTTATATTTCTTGAATTTAATTTCGCAATTAATTGGGTAATTCTCTGTTTAGTCTTTTTTAATTTTCAACTTACTTAGTACAGTTATTTATACTTATTTAGTTGTGGTAAAGTAAACACGAAGGTTAGCATAAGAATACCAAATGCTTTGCAGGATATTCGGAAAGAGAATTCATAATACTTATTGATGAGTTCAGAAAATCCCTTCATGAATTATAGGAGAAGCGGAATTGCCATGTCGAGTTCATGTGCATAGTGAATCACCTGCTTCCGGGGAACATTGGATGCGCCAGACAGTATCCTTTGATAAAATTAAGTTAACCAACAACCAGCTAGATCAGAACGGGCATGTAGGTTTCATTACTTACCTACAAACATGACTCATTATCAAGTGATGAAATGAATTCAAGTAAAATAATAAATGTAATTGCAAAATTTCATGCTAACACAAATCGAAAAAGAGATGAGGTTTGCTTCCAGCTAGTGTACAAATTTAAAAGGATCTTAAATAAGAATGGAGTTTTTTACTGCCTTAAGATGAAATTCTTTGCAAAAAAGTGTTACCAAAAAATAGTTAAATTAGAAAACAGAAAACATTAATTTAGCCTTGAAATTACCAGAATTTAGCTGAAGTGTATGTTTGCCAGCAGAATTTAATGATTCAGTTGAATAGTTAAATTTCACTTCAATTACACTGAATTTTAATTGACTTAATCGAATTTGTTTAGTATCATTTCATCATATTCATTATACTTTTCTGAATTTGCAGAAATTCTGATAGTTTTTTATTTTTATACCAACTAGTATCACTGTACTTTTATCAAACTATTTTATGAACAATGATACATAAAAATAAAATTAATTTCACCAAATAATACTTAAAATTTAAAATGTTTGTAAGAGTTAAGTTTATCTAGCATGAAGACATCGTAATACCATATCTGCATGATGTGAGCTTGCAGATAATTGTAAATTCGATGCACCGTTATCAACCAAATATACACGTCGTCGTGCATGCTGATGGAAATGGACGTCAATGTCGAACATTTTCATTTCCCAATACATCATTCATGGCTGTTACTGCTTATCAAAATCATCGGGTAAGAGAATAAATTCAAAATTCAAACATACTCTTTGAATAACAGTTCAAGTTGAAAGAATCACTGAATCATTTTATAGAAAGTAAAGTAAGAATGATGAAATACGGTTCTCTTAAAAGGCAGAAGAAAATCGATTGAATTTATTTTGTCGAATTCAACTCAGTTATTTATTTCTATTTCTTCTAGATAACAGAGCTAAAAATCGAGAGTAATCCGTTTGCCAAAGGATTCCGCGAATGTGAAATGAATGAATCATTTCCTTTCCTCATCAATCCATTATTCCCATTCTATACAACATTGCTTGCTTCGCATTTTCGTGCTACCAATCCATTTAATAAATAAAATTCGCTATTTAAATTTGCGCCCTACAATAAAAACTCTCTAAATGCGATGTAAAACAGAAATTCGAAATTATTAAAAAAACAGTTCTACAAAAAGAAAAAAAAAACAGAAATTAAGCTTTAATATGGAAGGTTTCTTCAGTATTTCCCGGCATCATTATCTCATAAAACATTGAAAGAAATGACAAAAAGCTTGCAAATAATTCTTCCAAATACAAACTTGCGTTCTCTACGTTCTTTTTCCATCATTCAATAAGTTAATCATAAAAAAAAAAAACTGAAATATATATTTCTCTCGTACAAAATTCATATGGTTCATTGAAGCTCAAAAACATAAGTTCATGAAATTTACATATTACAAAAGTCGGAATCAATTCCACAATAAATTATTCCAAAAACATAAAAGATGATTGTTTTATTTCATATTTCAGTAGCTCATAGTGCACATGTCAAAATACCATAAAGACTGCTCAAGTCAAGGTAATTTTCTCCAATGCATTTATTATTTGTGGTCCAAGATGAACAATAACAACGATGAGTGTACAGACTGTCACCTAAAATAAATGCTAATTTTGCAACAATGAATAACTTCGCAACCATACTGAGAAGTGAAATTAATAAAAGATGCGAAATTCTTTATGATTTCCACACAATATGTGTGATTTATAATTCAGCTAATACAAAATCTAAGAAAACACCGAAGTCTCATGTCACTTATCCGAAAGAAATGAGAAAATCACATTCCTCTTCACCAAATTCCAAAATTATCCAAATTTCAGTTTTACAAACCAGAATGAAATTAAATCATTGAATTCTTGGCATAAAAACATCAACAAGTAAAAGAAAATATAAGCTATCACAAATCTTTTTTCTCTCTTTAAAATAGTTGCAAATTTAACATTTGGTTGCGATATGTGAAAAATCGTTGCAACAAAATATTCACATTGCAGATTTGAGTGATACATTTATAATCGTTCGAAGAGATGAAAAAAGTAGTCGATTCGGTTTTTGATTTGCACATTAAAATTATTGTATAACAAAACAATTTGTATAACATTTGTATAACAAATTTGTATAATAAAACAATATGAGATTGTAGAATGAATTCATACTGTTAATTAATGAATTTGATTACCACACAATTTTCATAATACAATTTCTGCACAAACATTCAAAATTTACTTTTGATATTTATTATTAAAAAAAGCAGTACAATCGATAAAATAATCATTAAATTATCGTCGAAGAGTAATTTTTATTACTAAAAAAATGGTGCAAAATGAATAACGGTAGTAAACTAACTGTTAAAAAGTATTCAACTGCAATTAATTTGCGTGAAGTATTATCTTCTCATTTTCTGTTACATTAATGCTGCCAATGAACAGCAAATTTAATTTAGCCAATTGTACGTGCATGATCATAAACCTCTGAAATAATCAATAATCGTTACTTTTGTTGTTAGTGTGATATTTCTGTATTTACTTACCCGATATCTTCAGCACTTTCAAATCTTCGATTTCATAACCAAAACAATTTTCCACTTACTGAACAATTTCTCGAAAAGAATGAAATGACACAGAAAGCCCTTTATAACAAAAATTGTGAGTGGAAAGAGTAATGAATAATGCATTTCATTTTAAACAATTTCAGTGTCAAATTTCAGAAAAAGAAAAACAAAAATATATTATCCATCAGATATGAAAATTATTCCAAATATAACCGTATAACTTTTCAAAGACATTCAAATAATAACATTACTGAGACTTTTCCATTTTCCTTAATTAATATTTCTTTTGTCATGCTAACAATCAGAGAAAAAAACTCCAAGTACATTTAATAAAGCCAAGCATATAATAAAGCACGCAACTGCTATTCCGGTTCATTAAAGGCGAAATTCTGAAATAAATGATAAAATGGAAATTCATCCGATACATTACGTCAATTTTAGCATCAAATGAAGTCATACAACGACCGTCCACGAGAAATACACGTTGAAAAGAGGCTTGTAATATTCATTACTTCACCTCAAAGATTCTCCTCTCTCTCCGTCTTTTCTTTTTTGTCTTCTCTTTGCTCTTTTAATGTTGTTTGTCATTTAGAAAAATATTGCCTTTTCTTTGCTTTTCTTCTCTCATCGATTCTATTTCTATCATTATTTTGTATTTCTGTTTACCTCCTTTATTCATATTTGCTAATTTTAAACGAAAAATTTTGAAAGAAAATAGCATTGTCTGTACAAAAGAGTAAAAGCAAGAAAAAATTTTTTCCTTCCTTACCCACCTGGATAAGAAAGGATTCTTTCCCGCGGGTACAAATTATCGGTCATTAAACAATCTCAGTCGATAACATTTGAAACCAAGTTTAGCATACACTTTCCTCTAACTATTATGCAATCCTTTTATCATCTCCTTCATTCTATTTTAATATTTTTTCAACCTCTTTCTATATACTATCTTTCTCTTTTCTTGTTTTGCACACTATTTTTAGTCTTCCAATTGTGAATCTTTCAAATTTAATCGAACTCCGGTTTCTCTCTCTATATATCTCTTCATTTCCCCCTACCCTTCCCAATGGCATGCCAGGAAAAAATTTGACTTTATCCTTTCAAATATAATTAAGTAATTTCAAATTTTAAAGGTTTTTTTTCAGTTTCAGATTTCATAAAAATTTTGGAAATTTTCATTAATATTTTATTAAATCTCAAGTAAAATCTGAACGGTAACGCACATCTGACGAGGTTATGTTAATTCCATCCATCCTTCTTACCTTCTGATGGATGGCAAATATTCATCAAAAAAGACGGACGAACAATTGAATCCAATGCGGAACGGAGGGATGAAAGCAGGGAAATCTCCGGTGAGAATCAGAAGGACCGTCCTCATCAGATGCAGATGAACTTTAGCATCAGATGACTTTCATCTATTTTTAGTGGATAAATTATATTGGTCATCAAAAGGATATTTAGGCTTCATTCTCTTATTACGGTTAATTACATTAGAATTAATAAAATTGTTAGATAAACGTTCGTTTAAGTTAGTTTTTCATTTAATTTTTAAATTTAAAAAGTTTTCCTTGTTCCAAAGTTGAAAAGAACGATTTGGAATCTGCTGTTAAAAGTAGAAGTTAGGTATTTAATACTTTTGATAGGTCGGTCAAAAAGCATCAAGTAGTGCTTAAACAAAATAATCTTGTCATTGTAGAAAATTGATGTAATCATGCAAAGTTACATCGACAGTTATGAACTATTATATCTCCATGGTAGGAATATTCCTATCAGTTATTCTATGCAAATTAAGTATCACTTCCCAATATGCTCTATTATACTTATCTTGGAATATATTGAATGAAAATCTCTCGGAATAAGAATTGGTGAAATAGCTTTTTAGACTGACTGATGAAATACGTTGAATGCGTTGAATCTATAAAATACCGTATCTAACAGATTAGATTAATCTTCAGCAACAATCGATGATATGACTTTTACAACTAGTTGAATAATTAATTATTCAATCTGTGGCAGTGATAACAGTGATACTGCGAAGTTCTACCATTTAATAAATGAATAAAACTAAATTTTTTTAATGACATTATGCTTTTCTTTGATTGCTGGTTGAAATTAAATTAAGATTATCAACGAATAAAATAGTTATGCGAATTGACAGCAATTTTGACTCGATATCAACAGTTTCAGATAATGTTTGTTAATTAAATTACCAGTTATTCAGTTTTATTTTGCTTTGTTAGGAGAACTGACGATTCATTTCAATACAGTAAAAAATGATAGATTAAAAATAAGAATAATGTTGCTCTCAGAAGTTTGAAGTTTTTCTGCTACCGCTTGAATAAAATATGCAAATTATCCATTCCATTTTTTAAGTTTCTTAAATTTTATAACTTTAATTGATGACTGAATTGTGTTGTTGGAAAATTTGATTTTGTCAATAATAGATATAAATTTCTTGTTTCATCAATAACTATGCTTGAATTTATAATTTTGTTGGGAAAACTGAATTTGACAGCAACAAATACAAATTTCATATTTTATTATTTATCAGTTTTCCAAATTGACAATTTGGGAAATTTGAATTTTAACAGCAGCAATGCAAATTTTTCATTTTATTATCTATTCATAATTACTTTACAACTGTTACTGTTAACCAATAGCAATATCACCAATTTATGATTTAAAAGATTGATAATATGATAATATGTTGTTTAATGTCGGTATGTTTCGACATACAATCTAACAAATGGCACAATTCATCACATATGCTTCAAAAATTATTAAACAAATGATCAAATATAATTTATAGCAGTAGAAGAGAGACACTTACATCAAAACTTATTGTGGCATGATGATGATGAACGAGTAAATATCGAGGATATAATGATAATAACTGAAAACCTCATAAAATGTAATTCATTTTTTTACTGATAAAATTTAATTTAGTTCAAATCATATAAGAAAAGTTGAAATGGTAATACTTGCTTATGCATATTTTCTGCTTCCAATCAGCAAATTATTTCGTCTGAAAAATATTCATAATTCAAATGAATTTTATATAAATTCTTTTTCATTTTTAGATTATGCCATACCACCTAAAGAAGGTAAGAAAATATTGAAGATAACATTATTGATATATTAAATTGTTTTGGCCACTATTCATATAAATTACAGTATCACTGATCAAGTAAGTAGCTATTTCTGAAAATTTTTATTATTGAATCATCATGATAAATCAATGGTATCGAGACATTCTTATCATAATTCTTCTTTTGTTCCAATATTCTGCTTCCTTTGCTTATTTTACATGGTTTGAGATGTATTTAATTGATAGAATGAGTGACAAAATTGTTTTAAATATTAATTTAGGATGTTAATTTAAGGATTTATTTTTTTCTTTTAATTCAATCCTTTATTAATATTTATAAAATTTGTATTGTTTTCTCTATTGTCAAAAAATATATAAATTATTTATTGTTTTGTTATTGAAAAAAGCA